GAATATGATTGAGATTGGATATTCATAATTGACTATATTAATTCGATTATTTGCAACGCGAATGGTCGAATATTCGGAAAAACGCACTTGTTATTCGAATGTTGGCATGCCCAAGATTAGTGGAATATACAGGACTCACACTATCCGAATATTCGAATTTGAATATATATTAGATAGCGATTCGAATAGTATTTATATGTTCGAATATTTTTATAACTCAATATTCGATATTCGTCCATTCGAAAAATTGTCCAAGGTTTCAATCGGTAGTGGAACGTAAACAGGCACAGACAAACCCCGACGTTCCTTTTTTCGGACTTCTTTCACGACTGCAAAGTTCGTCTCGCGATAAGATCACAACTGGGTCAAACCTGCAAGGTCATTAATTTAGTTCACGTCTGTCTTGCGAGCATTCACCATTTCCTCAACTTTTATCTATTACTTATCTTTTCACATAACTAAATTTCATTTCATTGTTTTTTTCGATGCTTCATTTTCTGCTTCCGTCATATATTCAAAATGAAAGTACAACTTTCTTTTTTCTAGGAACGAAGACGAATGTTAATCTTCCACTTGGCGTTCCTTATTTTCATCAGGGTGTGGCGCTTAGGAGGTAAAAAAATTTACCAACATAATAAAAATAACTAACCGATACTCGTCACAACACTGAGACAGGTGCTTAAATTGTACACCTAGGAGCGTAAAGTATTCCAAGTTACTTAAAGCGGAATATTCGAGGAAACATAACACAAGAATTTTCTTGCTATAGACGATGGACGCCATTGCTTGCTTGGTTCACAGTGCGACCATTGACAACTTCCAGATTGCACTGCCTATGTTGAGATGAAGGAAATATTATTATGAATCCTAGAAAACTTGGTACAAGTACGGAAAAACTGACATCTTTACGGTATAAAATTGAGTTTCTTCTACGATAAGAAAACATGTATATTTCAGAAGAATTGCATAATTTTGAAGGCAATTTAATGACTGTTCCAATTTTCTAAAAGGAAGTCTATAGATATTCAGAATATTTGGATCTATAGGTTCAGCGAAGAAAGTTAAAGATCATTCTATTCAGCTTGTAAATTGTCTCCAAATATTGATGTTTAGATGCTGCTGAACAAAGTGACAACCGCATAGTTTCGGTCGAGATTCCAACGACTGCCGAAACACTTCTGACAGCCGCTAATGACCTAGTCATTGGAAGAGCAGCTGAGAAAATGGTGAGATACTTGCACTTCAAAAATAACTGTTAAAGGAATTACTTATGTTTATGATTATAACCGAAATGTTAGTTTCACACGAAAGGAGCAAATAATGGTGTTTTATCGGCAAGCTTTGCTTACGTGAATGTGACACTGATTTTCAGTTAAGTTAACGTCATCAGATGTTCAATCCACATCCAAATAAACTATATTTTCTCTTACTTGCCAGTATTAGACTATTCTCAAATCCGAGGACCTTTCTCACAAGTTCCAAGTAAGCCTAGCCACAAGTGAACCATATATTCCTCAGATTCGCACAACTCATCTATTGAAAAAAATCAAAGTCTTTGGAAGTTTTTTGTAAGAAAAGAGGTACTTCCGATTTCGAATATTTGCCGGAACGATAAGAGCAATTAATGTGTAGCATATGTCTAATGAACATGATCTCCATTTTTTCGTCCGCAGCTTAATTTTTTGATTCCCCAAATTCAAGCTTAGCAATGAAATAGAGTATTAATAATCTATGTATTATAGCAAATACAGTCAAACTCCTCGCTTAAGTGTGTAAAATTTTTCATTTAATTAAAACCACATTCGGGCTGAATTATCATTGTACCATTTGAAGGTATAGATTATTATCTGCTTATTTTAATCATCCAGTTCTAAGCTCATCTTCAGGCGAATATATGTACAAATAGCAACAGCTAGTGTTGTAAAAACATATCACTGCTTCAGATACTCGCAGAGCTGTCTGCCGAGGATTTCAGCTCCAACAATGCCAGTAATTCCTCGGAAGATCGAAGGTTGGAGTTTTTGACAGTATACCTAAAGAGAATTTTGCAAGAACAGCCAAATAATTTTAATTTCTGATTTAAATTTTGAATTACCCTTCTAATGAGTGAACAAAGTTGAAAGTGTAGAAGCTACTATTGCAAAATTTCTAATGAACAATTCAGAAGAAATGAAAATCACAATGCGAAATATAAGGAGTACGCTTATAATCTGATCCCTGTCATATGGCGAAGTATGTGCCTTTTTGAGTATCCCGACATCTCCGCAAGAATTGATTGAATCAAGAACCGCGTTGACTAGTCTTATAAAGGATGCACATTAGACATTTAAGAAAAAAACTCT